GGACAAGATAATTTTTTATCGTCATTACGATTTTTTCCTCAGTATATTAAAAAATTCTGTCATGTCTCTTAAATCGGGTATTAATTACGGTATAGGCATTTTTAAACTTTTGCAAATACATAAATCAAAACTCTAAAAATTCACAAGGGGTGATAAACCACACGATATATACAATAATTTACATAAAAAACACCTAAATTATTCGTAACACTATTAAAAATTGCGCCTAGAACATATGACTACATGTAAATTTAAACAGCTTTTATCGCCCAGCCAATTTACGGGGACAGTAAAACAATGGGCTTTGTATTTGGTGCTTTTCGCACCTTTCAAATGCAAATCGGCCGAGGGCTTGCTGCAGTTAGGTACTCGCCTGTTCACGTACGCCTTCTCCACGTTTCGCCATATCGCCCACCTCGCCTGACAGATGTACGGGGCTGTTTTTGCTTCCCCCACCCCCAACCCCCGACACCTGTTTCCATTATAAACATCCTGAGGTCCCGATGTTGGTTCTTTGTGTGCCTTCCTCCCCTCCCGATATATCATCCTGACTAACCTCATTTTTGTTTTTTTGTCCACACGGTGTTTTTACCTTTGACTTTTCAGTCTGAAGCTACGCCTCTTGCCTCAGATTCCTAGGTTCCGGACTGTCTTCGGGAATAAATTTTGGAATGGTTGTATTTTGAAAGAAGAGTTAGTGCGATAGCAAAAATATTAACGCTGAAATGTACCCATACCTTTTGAACTCGAAAATTTGCAACAAAATTGAGTAATAGCCGCAAAATATTCTTTAAACTAATATAATTTCTAACCTTATCTAAATGAAGCTATTGATATCTTCAATTTCTGTACTTAATTTAGTTGTGTACATATATTTTCTACAGAAGTGAAATCGAAATAACAGTATTGAGTATACCGATACTTCAAGCATAAATTAACTTAACAGGCGATATTTACTACCAACAACTGTGATTCTTGTAAATCAGCTGATTCCTTAAAACAAGAGTATGATTAATATGACAAGAAATGAAAACGAAAATAGATCGATGGGACTTGTCGAGAGATCTCATAGATTTTTGTTGTCAAGGATTAATAAGCCAAGAAGTTTGACGCTAATTTTTAGATGAATTTGGAAAATATTAAATTTTGCATGTTTGTCCGAACAATCTTTACATTTACAAAAAATCTATATTATATTGATGGTGAAATAAGAACGCGAGTTGACAACAAACTGTATTATAGCAATACATGTTTTTAAAATGTTTTCGAGTCCAAGGTCCAAAGATATTTTCTCCTCGGGAGTGTACAGAATCGCAAGTAACACGTCTCCGAGCTATATTTGATTTGTTTGTTATCATTTGTACTTCACCAATGTACACAAAACGGGTTGACCCAGTCCCGTGTTTAAACTCCGAGTAAATATTTTCCTTTAAACGCTTAGTTTATATCAACACACCTTATCAGTTCTAGTGACCCTAGCCTATCTGTTCACCCCTAAATGTTCGGACTGAGATCGACTAGGGGTGTATGTTAGTTTACACGTTCATAATAGATGTGACTGTTGTTTATCTTACTTTAAGGGATGATTTGGTACAGTATACAAATTAAAGGAGAGACCGGAATTGCGCCAGTTATGTGAGGGTTACAAAGTGTCAGCCTGGCACACACCGGGATTTGGCCAACGCTACTCCAGGTAGCCAGGTAGCCGGGTAATCGGGCGGTAGATGGAATGTAACCTAACCTAACCTAACCCGATAATGAAGGGAGACACTAAAGTTGAACTTGAAGTATTTTCTGAACTTGAATAAATGCCGCATTGGCTCAATGACGGTGCGTTTGGGGGGGGGGGGGTTGATTTGGCAGTGGCGCAATCCCGGTGGACCGATTAATTAAATGTACTGGTACATTTGATTGCACCGATACGTACCCACAACAAACCAAAAAATCGTTAGTCGAGCTACCTACTGAGTCACCGACTAACCAAATTATCACTTGGGAGAAGTCGCCATCCAAGCATATCGGACTTTCTTTATGGTATCAACGCTGTGAAAACAGAAAATTTTTAAAATTGTGTGAATGCCTTTTATATTTAGAAAATAGTTTCGGCGCCAAATTAATGTCATCTTCAGGCTGTAAATGGAAATTATATCGTAGTCATCTACCAAACAAATATCATAATCAGAGAGGACTTCATCATCACCTAACATAGGCCTCTTCACCTAATAAATACCAAGTTTTATAAAGATCGGATGGAAAAGTTCAAAGATAGAAATGTTTTTGAATAAAAACAAAATGGTAGATATCTAGACAAATGCACATTTCAGACACACCTCCATATGAACTTTTCTCTTTCTTTTTTAAGTGGAATCATATGTGGTATGTGTGCGTTTAACATACCATTTTCGTAACTGCTTGATTTTACAGGTGAAGAGTTTGAGCGAGTCTCAGTATCTCCAAGACTAGACGCCCTCGCTCCGTGGGTCTATCTCCCGTTTCCTCACTCTTATCACTACAGTAATTAACAGCCGCTTTCCTCACTGATAGTAGTCTATCAACCTAGTCATTTAACCCTTTGTTTCTAAAACAATTAACAGTTGAGAAAAACTTATTAGAACGTTTAAATCGAAACGACACCATCGTACAAAGTGGGAGGTACGTAGTTTGGAAGTTTTCATTTCTCAATATGTTAAATTTCGGAAGTGTTATTTTAAAATTATCCGTGAATAGTACACATTTTGATCAAAATCACACACAACCAATCATGAAAAATTATACCAGCATAATGGAGTGTTAATGAGTTGTAAAAACAAATTGAAACCTGTAAACACATTTTCTCAGACTAGTTTCGTTAGCTTGATTTTTGCAGCTCAATTGCCCAATAATCGACTGATTTCATGAAAAATGCAATAAAACGTAACTCTAATAGTATAATTCCATTACGGTAACATATGAAATTGAAAAACCAGATTTGGCGAAGGATTTTATTAATAGCCACTATAGACACATACAAGTAAGTTAAATAACTAAATTTAAAGTATGAAGAGGGAAATGTAGATAAATAATAATCATAAAGATCTTAATCACTGCTATCACACCAATCGTCTGTATGAATCTCGTTTCCTCCGCAGGAAAAGGAGTGGTCCGAATGGATCCTTGGTTCTCCATTACACACTCCATTGCTAGCAAACGAACCTCGCTATCTCAGAATCAGGCGCAACGAAGAATCGGGGTTCAAAGAAGGCAATGGTTGTAGAATAGGGCTCGGGCAGGAAGGTGCGGTTCACAAAAAACTGGGCCGGCAGGTTGTTTTTTGTCCTGGAACTTCGTCATAAACAGGACTGGGGCGGCTAAGGTAAACATCGCAGTATGGAGGCCAACCCGGAGTTTATAAGTTTGAACAGAAGCGGCCCTCGTATCTTGACATTTTGCAATTTGTTTATCCAAAGAAACCGTAAACTGAGAAAGAAGAGGGTCATCGAGTTGGCTGCGTGAGGAGGAATAAACTTTGGGGAATCACGGGGGAAAACCGTCCGTGAAACCTTCTGCTTTAAATATAGACATTCCATACCGATGTTAAAGTAGTGGTGGTTTTTTGATCCAAATGAGTCCCGGTAGATGGATTGCGCCATCAATGTTGATGATGTTAATTGCTGATTAGACTTTGGCCAGACTCAAGGTCAAACAACTGTAAACTATTTCTCATCAATTATATCTCATATATTATTATAGTACCTATCTAAAACAAATAGAGGGAAGTAAAATATTTACTTTCTTTAGCGGCTTATCAACTGTGTTATATTCGAATGCGAAATTTGCTACAGCTGTTTCATTATATATGGAATGTCTACCCCATCTACCCTAGAATCCAAAAAGCAAAGGCAAACCAACTTCTATAAATACCAAACATAAAAACGTTTCCGCAATTTCGTGACGTATAAACAACGTACATACACCAACGCGTTATCTCTAACAATGTTATCTCCTAATCTAGTTTTAATTGGGAGAAACCGTGAAACAACTTTGTCTAATTAGTTATCAGAACCTTATCAATTAATCAGAACAGTGCAATTACTAGCGAATCATGGCGGTGCATTGTGCAACAAGTTCTGTATTGTTATAAAAGCATTTGTCATCTAACTAGAGTAAGAGGTTTTGATAAGCAATGTTTGTGTCTTTCTTTATCAACATTCAATATGTATGCTAAACAGTAATCAAGGCTTGATTTTGGAAATATTTAAGTATTACGGGTATGTTGGTGCTACCTTCCACCATGGGTGCTACTAACGTTTTAAAATACATTAAGTACATTTATTACTTTTTACACAATTTATTAAAATACAAACAGTATCCAAAGTAGCACATACAAGCATAGCCCATGTTAGTTGCCAAATCAAGCACATTCTCCATACTCTAGACTACTTTGGGTGCTTTAAATTTCAAAATGACATTTATTGATGAGTTATTAATGCTCTTAAAAAATGTATGAAAATGTAATTTAAATGTGGCGTCTTCCTTTATTCGAACAATTCTTTGTACTCCATTAAATTTTCATCCTCAAATGATCCAAAGCATTCGTAGAATATTTATTTGGATGTAGCCTATGGGTGTTAAAACAAACATCCAGAGAGATTTCACTTATTCGCGATTTATATTTCATAATTTTTGTATCTAATTGGAGTTCGCTTTGGTAAAAAGAAACAGTAAATTTTAATTACATTCAGAAAATCACTAGTAAGAAGTTTAATTTAAGTTATAAGTTGCTGCATACTCGTTTTTCACCGATGACGACAGTCTTTAAAATGATCTTCTCGTTACACGGGTTTGCTTTGTACGACACTATGCCAGACTATCCGTACCAACATTTGCAGTTTTCAAAATCGAGCAAGCGAAGAAATTACTTTTTCTGTAAATCCCCCATTGTATGCTGCCATAAGACCAGTTTGGTAACATCTGTTGGACTTTTGAAAGCTCAATGACACACAATGCTGAACCCCACTCACCACTTGCTGGTTAGCAGTGTGCAGCAGTTCGTGCTTGTCTAGCTGATCACGAGAGGGGAAGGTGGCGGCGCAGTGGACGCAGGGAAAGGCACCTCCAGGGTGTTGAGCATCAACGTGCTCCTTGAGTGCCAGGAAGCTGGGGAGCCCTTGGCCGCAGAAGGAGCACTTGATGAAGTTGTCTTCTTCTGGACTGGCACGATCCTTGGGGACGGGCACTGGAAACAAACAAAGAACTTTAGGAGAGGAGATAATTTAGGAAGAGTAAGGTTGGAAGATTGTGGTCCTCTGGAGGTTGACCGTGTCAGAAGACCACGAATATTCAATAAGTTACAGTAGAACTACTTATCCAATAGAATGCAAAAGACCTTTGTGCAAGAGGAGCGTCTTTGGTTCCGGCATATTCACGAAAAGGTGAGGGGACGCTATCCCTGTTAGAAGCATAATCGTAGACTCTAAAAAACCCATAACGTCTTAACCAAGTAAAATTAAATGTCGCCATAAATGTTTATAAATAAATAAACGTCAAACCGGGGAATCTTGGTGCTGGATCGGCAAGCCATGTAGGACTTTAATTACACACAACAATCTTTTCTATGTTTCCAAATACTAGTATTTTGCACTTCATTAACACCTAATCTTTACCAGACGTTTCACCTGAATGTGGTGCGATCATCACAACATAGATGTTCCTGGGAGGTATATGCAACTGTGCAGAATACCACATTACACATGGATAACTGCGGCGGCGGACGGCGCCAGATTCGAGTGTCTATCATTACAGACAAAGGTATGTAGTTACAGGATACAAAGGGGTGGTATGTGGTGTGATGTATACCCGAGTGCCTAACTGTTTTTTTTCACAAGTCTAAAGTCTTGATGGGATCGTAAACACTTATAAACAAAATAAAAAAAAAGATCTGCAAGTATTGTACGTATTAACAATAGACATTGTAGAAGTAAAGGCAATCAATATTTTAAGCCCCGGGCAGAGTAGGCAGATGCTTCATAATTTGAAAAATCCCAACAACAAAAATATTTTTTTTAATTCCACCCTAACTCCTAACTTCCTTACTAATCTCGTGACATCATTTCCACGAGAACAGGGAAATTGCGAACATAGGTGGGCAATGTATCAGATAAAAAACATAATTTCCCGATTTTATACAATTTTAACACAAGTGATAGCCAATTATCTAAAAGATGAATTCGCTGCGTCAAGCACTGCTCACCGAGTTGTCAGTTTGCATTCTATTAGTGTGGCGGATCTACTACGACGCATGTTGAGAGGTACCTATTAATATCTTCATGGGAACGGAGACAAAACACATGTTGCTTCGACTATTAGAAGAAGAACGTCAGATTAGCAGCTATTACACGATGATTAGTTGAACACTATTTTATTGTATTTTTAAGAGGTTAAAGAACTTTTTAACATTGGATTTGACATTCCATCACGACCTAAGTAGTGGCACTGATATGCGAATCCACAAAACGGCAAGGATTCATAGTTCGCCTACTAACAATAATTGAGTCATCGAATCACCTACATTTTATATTTAAAAAATTTATGCGAATAGCCATATATTTAGGAACCACCCAAACCACTATGTTTGTCGTAACTGAGGCAGCATTTTTTATAACGGGCAAATCAAATTAACCTAAGATTACTAAATTAGAATTTTATTTCAGTTTATAAATATCAACTTACCTATAAATCAATACTGGATAAAAATATGTACACCGCTTATGCAAATGACACTAAGTTAATCCACGGTAAAATGTTACATGGAATAAAATGAGTCGAAATGTTCCGCATAAACTGATAAAACTTCCCGCCTAAAACAATCGCTCATTAATAATAATTAATTGCCGCTATTAAGCGGTAATGCTGCAACGAGGCGCGGTGCCGCGTCGATTTTCATTTTAATTCCCAACGCGTAAAGCAATCTAAATACGTGGGTAGATTATTTTTATTAAAGTCGTTTTGGCTATTTTGTAATTATGTATTTCATTTAGGTTACGTTAACTAAATAAACATTTTACAACCAAGAAGTTTCATATAACCGTAGACCGGCTACCTTAGAATGTATTGTTTCATCGTAAAAATAAATAGTGATTTTTATTATTCATAAGTATGATTGTGTTGCTACAACATTCAAAACTATTTAACAAATTTCACGTTTGCCCAGTATACGCTGGGAGTGTGGCTATAGCGCATGGATACAGTGTATTGAGCGCCACCCCCTTCTACCATACTGTACTCTATGTACCAATACTTGCTCTATGTCACACACGATATACAGGTGGTCGGGTCGCTTCCCCACCCGCTGTCACCAGAACTATATTTATGGCGGGTTTCTCCGAGGCTCTTCGTCCTGAAACGTTCGATGTGTATATTCACCGCCTTGAAGACACGTTTAGGATAGAGTTTACACATTGAAGTAATAAGTAAATTTTATTGAATGTTTTAACGAGTTACGAGTAGCCTAAATGCGTGTAAATATTCACCTATATTGTTATTCGTGGTGAATGATTCGTGACATATACTTTATTGGTAATTATTTATAAGTAAATGATTGTTATACTGGTGAAATAAAGCTTTGATAAGCTAATCAACACACTTTGACTCAAAGGTACATTGTAACAACGTACAGTTAACTTCCAATCAATTACCGATTATACTCAGAAGTATAATCGACTAAAATAGGACATTGAGATTTTTATGCGATCTTATTTCAAATTTACTGGAACAATTATATATAATGAGTAGCTTCAACATTTTACTACGCTCTCGCAACATGTTCAATAGATCGGCCAACAATTGGACATTAAGTTGTATTACACACAATCTTATATCAAATTAACTAGGTTTGACATCTACCAAGCAGCTTCTGCAGACAACATTCAACATTTTACTACATTCACGCGGCTGAACAATGTAGTATGTAGGTTAATAATTCCTGCTCACAAAACGCTCATTTTACATTTAATTACACTGCGGAATTAACATACACTTTAATAACAGTGTCCCGGCGGAGAAAGAGAGTCGAGCCATTTACCAAATTAAATTCTGGATGACGTCAGTGGCAGTAGGGCGGGGGCGGCGTCTTTGCCTCCATTTTGGCCGCGACTCCGCCCCCTGCGCAGGTAGGTACAGGTGTACGCGCAGGTGTGACGCTATTGGCTGACTCGCACCTATCACAGGTGGCCCCGCCCACCTCAGGTAACTCACCTGTGTCATTGGTGGACAGATACATTGTTGTATTCATGTATGGCTCACAGCTGACACGGGTCGTTTCCCACGCTACGTGGAAGGCCGCCCAGCTGATCGATAAAGCTAAGTGGGACTTAGCACCGACTGCGACAAACTTGAAACTATTCTTTGCATCTTTTCCCCATTTGGCGTTTGTTCCAGAATTTTAGACGAAAGTTGTGTGTTAGGTTGAAATATTCACGATAAGTCATTGTTAGCGTTGAGTCTACGTTAATACTTTCGCTGTAAGTTCAGAACCGTTGTTTTCCTATTTTCCTATGGCGAGTTTGAAAAAGAAAAATTACAGCACAGACTACTACGAGGTGGTTTGAGCCTGTGTCAAATTAATAATATCGAATTATACAATAATATCGAAACGCCATTTACATTGTGTCTAATAGTATAAATTGCACGTTGAATCGTTTGTTGACGAGTTTCCTTGGCTGAGGTCTCGACAACTGCTTGATTTTATTGGTATAGGCTATCAATGAAAAGTTTAAATCAAGAATTAAATACAACATTTAAGTGTACACCACGATTCTCCACAATTATCCTTAAGTTATATAAAAATAAATATTTTTAATATCTCTACTGAGGTACGCTCTTTTCCGATAAGTATTTTTGGTTTTTACAGGAATCATAAATAGTTTCTTTTTATTTTTTATTGTTTATAAGGAAGTATACATTAATTAACCATTTTATTAGCTGTTTATTCTGTTTAAGTTGGGCTTCTTGAAATATTTTATATTTGTTGGGAAATATTTATATATTTTAATATTTTTTGTGTAAAACCTGTTTCAAACAGTTTTGTAGTAGAATTTAACACAATTTTGATTATTGTTATCGGTATATTTGTACGACAAACTATTCCAGAAAACTCGTTGTCAAACAATATGGACCTTAATACGTATCTAAACACTTGATACTAGTGTTTTTGGCCGGTAATAACATCTCCCCTATAGGAAAAATCGCTAAAATTACAATAAATAATAATATTGTACCACGATATTTAAGAGTATCGTGGTACAATATTCTTACTCAATATTCTTATACACATTACTCATCCGTTAATGCTATAAATAACCCCTTATACTATCGGTGATCCCAATAATATATCTATATAGAGGTATATTTTCAGTGTAATGAACGTTCTTGATTTACGAAGTATTAAAAATTAGAACAAATTAGGTCTGAATGCACATTTTTGGCTGACATACACACAGGTCAATGGGGAAGGTGAATAACGGTACGGGCATGCGGGCACAATATGGGCACAATATGGGCATCACAATTATCAGCCCTCCGATATAGAGGTGGCCGAGTTAAAACCTACATGAAAAATCGTCCTAGTAGCCTATTTCTATACTGTGAACTTTATTATCATGTATCAACGAGTTTAAAATATCGAATAGCTGATATGAAAGTGTTTATGACCGAAAACCACATGAAATCTCCATGACTGCAAACGTCACTTAGGTTGTGGAATTTGTAAATATTACCAAGGGTGTAAGTGATTATTATTCTAACACAAATATCAAATCAAATTATTTTATTGAGCTAAGTTGACAATACATTGCATTAGCTAAGTCAAATCTAAATAATACAGCTTTCCTTCTGGGCTTCAAGCTAATAAGATTGAGGTATTATTATAAATGAGGGATTGGTGAACTATGGAGTGAGATGCTTTTTGCACCTTTGTTAACGATAAAGAACTATTAACAATAAAGAACTGTTAATGATAAATAGTAACAACAACAAAATGTTATCACTGCACAACAATAATAGAGAGAAAAAAACAATTCTACAATGAACAAAAGACGACAATAATAAATTGTATGGATGCTATAACAAGAAAATACAGAGTATTCAATTCCCTAAGCAAAACTAACACGAACAAAATATTCAAAATCGATGTTTCCAGCAGTACATTTACGCCGTAACATTAAGTGGTATTTAGGATAC